AAGGACTGTCTGAGACAGCTTTTTGGTGGGAATGCACTGCATATACTTGTGACTGAGAAAGAGAGAAATGTATTTACAATACATTCACAAGTGAGAAATGTATTTCTCACAGCGATTATTGCATGTTTTTTCAATTGTGTATTTAAAGAAAACTTCCTGGGATCTACTCTCTTTATCTGAGAAAAACTTTTACAAATTTTAATTTTTCTATTATTTTTCTGAGGAAACCTAATATTGACCTGATCTATAGCATTCTTCAAGTACCACAGTGCTTTCCTGCACCTGCCGTATAAAGCTACTAAAGTGAATATTAAAGCATGGAATTAATAATCTGAATAGAAAAAAGCACACTCCTTCCTACATAAGATGAAAGCAGATAGCTAAATTGAATGATATGCAAAAGCAATTAGTACGGAACACTTTATGTTAATGAAGAAGCTGAACTTGTTAGGTCATCTTAATTATAAATGCTAAGTTCTGACTCGAGGCATAGAACACTGTGGAAGATTAATAGCTGTACAGTAGAAGAATTCTGAACTTCTATCACTATGCACATTCTACTTTGCTTGGTCTGAATGATGACTGTCATATATAAATGCAGGAGTGCGTTTATGCTGTTCTATTGTGGTTTTGATTTGGTTTGGTTTGGTTTCTTCTTTCTCAGTGTATGCCACTTGGACTGACTTGATGTTGAGTCAGGTATACCAAGGCAAAGTTTCTTGAAAATTGTGCATTATTTCTCTGTTCTACAGAATATTCTTTTATTAATACAGCATAGATGACAGCACTGTTAGAATTTAACAAAAATACTCAGTAATCATTACTAAGATTTTTTTCTTTCTGTCTTGCAGGAAAATCTAAAATTCATTTTTTTCTCCAGGCTAAATCAGAATGAACCCTTGCAAAACCAAAACTTTTTATGAAATAAAAGCTAGTTACATAAAATACATATTTTTATTTAATTCTTATTTTTTAGACTTACACTATAAATTCATTTTTCTAGAAGAAAAAATATATTTTTATTCCAAGTCAAAGATTCCCTCTGTTTCAGACTAGTTTCAGCCTCTCTGCTTCTGAATTGCAATCTGCAGTGTTGAAATACTTTCAAGACCACAGAAGCACAAGTCTACATACATTAATCTATCATCATACTTTTGCACACACCCACATAAACACACTAAAAATCAACCCATTTGTAAAGTCTTAGAGGACAAAGAGTAGGAAGTGTCTCTGTCCAAGTCAGAGAGCTGGAACCAAATGATCCTTAAGGTCCCTTCCAACTCAACTCATTGATCATATGATTCTGTGATCATACAAAAACAATAATCAGAGCATTTTTAAATTCAAGACCGCTGAGATACTCAGAAAAAAAAAAAAAAATTACAGATTACAGAAAATAATATAATCTTTTAACTGGCTTACTAAGCTAAACCACATGTGCACATGTATTTATGCTATATGTATGATAGAGGTACAAATATAGCATATAGCAAAATAGAGCAAAAGGATAAGAAAGAACCACTTTGATTTTCATTGGACCAAATAATAAATATGAAAGAACTATCAAAAGTATAAATGACATCTATTAATATTTTAGTCATGATATAAAAGCCACTTCAATAATAGAAAATCACTGAACCTTCCGCAGGATTTCTATGTATCATATTAAAATCAACATATACACACAGTTCTACTGTGTGAAAGTCACCGAGACCTTACTAGAAACCATGCATATTTGATTCTTATGAATAAACAAGCAAACCTTTTATCACAAGAAGCTTGTGTAAAGAAAATATGTATATATTCTGACACAACAAATCCAAATTCTGAGTATTTACTGAAATACTTCCAGACTCGCCTGAGAAACATAAAGAACAAAGCTGGTTCTTCTGTGGTTACTGTCCTACATCACAGAACAGATTTACTTTAGAATTATTATTTATTAAATAATAGAATGTTTAAATATTTTATCATTTATTAAGCAGGTGAAATTTGTTTTTCCAAAGCCCACACAAAGGAAGTTCAGAAACCCAATAACTAGAGTGTAATGTGCTGGAAATTTTGTTTGTTGCCACTAATCTTTTCAGGTATGCTAAAGCATCACCTTTCCCAGACCTGTCCTGAGCATCAGCCTGGAAACAAAGGAAAAACTGCCCTAATTGAAATCAATAGGCTCCGTACTTGGAATTATAACTTGGAATCTTATAAAGTTACAAGATGAAATTTTATACCCCCTTTTCATCATGTTGGTATACTACAGGTCAGATTATGAGGAAAATAACGTCCTAATAAGAAATTTACATATGTCTATAGAAAACAGAAAAAAAAAAAAAAAAAAAAAAGGCGGAACTCTATGAATTACAAATAGCAAAATGTTGAAATAAATATGATTAAATGTCAGAGTTAAATTCACAGTTCCAACTCTGGCAAGATGGCTACACTGATTTGCATATAGTAGAAAAGTGGAAGAAGGACACAACACAACCAACTGAGCTTATAAACTTTGTGATCCAAAACTGCCTGGTTTTACACCTCTGGAAACTAATCAGATTTGCCTGAGGTCTCTACTCAGAGAAATACAAACCTTAGTTTTTCATTTGGCAAACTGGAGTTTCAGGTGTTTAAACATCTTGTTAAATGGCATCTAGCTAGTTGGATCAAGCTAAATTAACCTATTAAAAAACAGCAGGTTTTTGCTACCGTTTTACTGAATAAGCTGTCATCAACCTCTGAAAATAAAACTTTCCTATTTCAGCCCATATCATTTACATACAGTATTCCTCAGCAGCAATTAGTGCAGCAACTTTAATTCCTCAGTGCATTTCTGACTTTAAATACACATTAGCCACAGTGCAATGTCAGTCAAATTTGACAAACCTAAAAACTATTGACAATAGTTTAATAAAATGACTTTTTTTATTCTACTGAGCACAGGAAGAACTTTGTGCAACAGTGTCATGACATAAATTACTTTCATGTCTTCCATAGACATTTATTTTAAAACTTACATCTTGTGTATGCCTTTTCTGTATCTAAAAGCTAGATTATAAAAGCTCTTTAAGTACTAAAATTTATCAAGATTATTAGGCCTTTAAGTAACCTTTAAATGCTATCTGCATTTCTCAGGTATCTAAAACCCAGGCAATCAAACTGCATTTAGATGCTTCGTCTCCATAAACAATTCCCCTAAAATATTCACAACATTCTGTGTGAATACTTGTTTTTTGTGGTTACTACAGAAACCACTTAGAAGTACAAAGAGGGTTCCAGAAAATAATCCTGTATGCTTTTCATGCGCTTATTTATCCTCTTCTGTCCTGAGGGAAAGTAATGTTGTAACGTATCATCTTATGCAGTACACTAGCTATAATAAGCTTCTGCCTTACACCAGAATCTTTTCTGAGAGTGACACTTTCTTTAGAGCACCACAAGATGAAAAACATGTGATTGGCCCACAGAACTCTATTCCAATCTCTATCGCTGTGTGACTTTTTTGACCATGACCCCATGGTAATACAACTATTGTTTGCACTCAAACCATCCAAAGGTTTGAGGTCAATTACATCTGTGATCAAAGCATAAAATATACAACTCCAGTGAGTGAGATGAACTGCTAAAATTTTTATGTTGAAAAGGGTAAAAGTCAAATTAAAGAGTTAATGCAAAATGCAAGCATGAAGCAATGACTTCAAAGCATCAGCTCTGTATGAACTACCTATATTCTTCAAACATTTCTAAAATATTGGCATGTTCATTTGCTTATTTGAAATTATTTAGAGAAAATTAACAATGAAACTTTACAGATCCCGTCATACAATACTTCAGAAGTGCAACACAACGAAACTATTGCATAATTTAATTTTTAAAATGTTTCCAATTTTCATTTTCAGTACACTATTAATAACAACAAAATAAAATATTTTTGTTTTAAAAGTTAACTTTCTAAAAAAAAGACAAAAAAAATTAACTTTTAAAAATTCATATCAAGTGTAATTTAGTAGCAATATCCATTAAATCTTTATATGTTATCAACAGAAAAAAACATTCACAAGATTACTTATGTTACATGACTCATCTAACACAATCTAAACAACTGTTATATAAATCTGACATCAATCTTCAAGGAACAGAGCCTAGCATTTTTTCAAATATGAAATATTTGAATCTGAAAAGGCTTCTAAAAATCTAAAGAGCAGCAGAACTCTGTCAGCAAAGGTGTTACACATCACCCCCGATCCAGACAAAGTGGAAAATTAGATAAATACATTGCAATAACTTCTAATAAATCTGAAAATTAAATTGGTCCGAATGCAGGATATGTTTTCAAATAAATCCTTCCTTACCACTATAATATTAGATTTAATTTTAACTAATGAACAGAAAGCCACTTAAAACCCAGCAATGAAAGTTTATTTGCATGAAGGTGATTTTGATTTTCAGTAACTAAAGAGACCAGAATAATGGCAATGGAAGGGAAAAATATATATATATCATACTATTTACATTAATGTGCAGAAACTGGACATTGTGCAGAAACTAGAAAGATTAAATTCTTTATACTTTTCATTTTAAAAAAGTAAATAAATAAAAAAGGATTATGCAGAAGGGAAATAATAAAATTTCATTTACTAAAAAAGTAAACATCTTTATGAAAGAGATACCTAAATGAATAAAATAAGAAAATATTGAGGAGACATTGTGATTTAGCTTGATTTTTGTTGGGGTTTGACATGATGCCACACTACTTTTGCCAAGAAGGGAAATACAGACTGGATTAATACATTTACAATGTGGTATTATCATTTAGAAAAATACGGTATGTGTGATTTTTTAATAAAGTTAATATGCTATGTTTTCAGTCTACAGAATATTAAAACAAACACCCCAGCAACTGTTTGAATAAAGATTAAAGTAATATTTGGCCTCATGCCTCTAAACAATTTTAGTCACAGAAATGAAGTTTTTCCTTTGACAGGAACACTAAACAGTGATATTCATACCGTCATAAATCCATCCAGCAAACCTGAATCAGGTTTAGGAGGTGCTTGCAATCTCTCCATAGACCACTTTTCAATGATAGATGACACCTGGCTATTTTCCGTGTTTAGAATTCTGAATCCTGTCATGTTAACACCACTATACCGATAGGGCTCCACATCCAAGGCAAACAGGTCCTGGGGAAAAAAAAAAAAAAAAAGCCTGTTTAGGGTAAGTTCAGTTGCAGAACTATATCTCCTATTAGTCAGAAATGTTCCAGTAGGCATAAATTTTATTAATAATTGCTACAAATATTATTATTAATCATTTCTTCTTTGGCTTACCAAAACATACTTTAAATGATAAAAATAAAGAGAACAGTCTCCTTTTATTTTCAGTCCATATGAAACTTTAATATGTTGACCTTTAACCACTAAAATAAGAGTGGGGGATGGGGAGAATGTACACGGCCTTCACACTTCTTGCAGTTTTTGATTATTGTTTACATTTAACCAAAAGTATTCTTCACATTTATCAATCATACTTCCAAACAGACATATCTTTGATTAGTAATTTCTCTCTACAAGCATAACCTTTGCCAATTGATGTAATTTTAATATATATGTATGTACACGTATGTATATTTACCTCCCTTCAGCACACACAGAGGCAAACATAAATGAAGAAAAAGAAGAAAATCAAATTTTGGATCAAGCAAGTAAACTCATGATTATTCCAGTTCTTTGATAGAATCCTTAGAAATAAAGTAGACAATGGGAAATTTAGGTAAAAGATCAATTTTTAATTAGATAAAAAAATAAATTAAATAAAATTAAAAAAAAAAAAAATGATTAACAAAACAGTCATGACAACTCTTAGCTGAACCCAAACAAATTTTCATTTGGTTTACTTCTTATTTTTTGTTTCCTTTTAAGTAAAATTTTGAAGTGATATAATGAGATGACATAATCACAGACACTACTGTTCCGTAACATATTTTTAGTTTCATTGAACACAGACATTCTCAAAATCATTTAAACTTTGTTTTTAATTTATATTTATTTTTTTCTTGTTGGCTGTATAATACAGTTTACATTTCCATTAAATGGTAGCATTAGGTGTAGTACTTGTCTGAATCCATTTACTTACTAACTAGAACTGAAGAAAATATAATATGTACTACGAAAAACCAGAGTATAATTCATTATTCATTGTTGACACTGAGCCTCCCCAAAATCAAGCAGTCTCTAACCATTTTCAATTATAGCTAGTAATTATAATAACATTTTCCATGACACCTAAGGTGCTACAGGTGCTAAAATGCTTTTGAGTTATACATTTACGAATAACCTAACTCATGTCCTCTTTCTAAAGAAACAAAATATTCTATTGTGAAGGAAAGACCGACAATAACTTTAACTATGTTACATCTTTGCCTTTAAAAGCTCTCTATTTTTGCTGTGAAAAAAACTCACAACCCCAGGTGTAATTATTTATTCCAAACACATTCATGTTTACACTGGAATATAATAAATGTACAAAACAATATTATATCCATATATTACAGAAACACACAGGTTGGCATATAATGAGCTACAGCATTAGATCCTGAATCAATCATAGGAGAGCATGCAGAAGACTGCTGTAAACACTGTGACTTGAAAATTTATTTGACAGGACTTTCAACATGTAAGGTAAGAAGCAATTAATATATCAAAACAACTAATTTGTGATGCATGTTCCAAAGATACATTGGAAAATCAAAATCTATAATCTGTCTGCATGCTTTAAAGTATTCTTTGATAATTCCAAATGCATATAATCCCTGTCCCTTCTAAAACAGCTAATGTTCCAATAAGGATATAAAAATGACAGAAACCCTGTTTTTTAAATATAGCTTTAAGAATAAAAATTAAATGCATGGTATGTATGGACAACATACCGCTCACAGAAGCAATTTTCACCAACAGCAAAAGACAGGAAACCTAGGATTAATGAGGGAAGTTTCATTTCATGCAACCCTGAATCCATAGGTGATAGCACAATTTAACCTTCTAAAGTAAGAGAGAGACTTGCAAGGGTATTTTGTCTTTACAGTTCTAATGAGCTTCACAAATTATTTTGTGAAATTTTTAAACTGTAATACTACAGTCAGTCATTTTCTCAGGTCTGTCAGTTTGCCAGGCATGCTGTTGAACAATAATTAAACCATTCTGATGAGTTTTCATTGAAAGTAAGAAAACTCAACAGAGAAAACATCATGTACTTACACTCCAATCCAGAGAGACTTTTTTTTCACTTTGTAAGGTAATATAATTAAGGAAAGTGACATCTTTGTTAGATGTCACCATATGTTTTTATAAGCCACTTACCAGTGTGGTAAAGATATAGTGATAGTATTCTGTCATCATTCCCATAGCTAAAGCCTTAAAAAAATAAACAAAAGATTAATGTTTCTGAGGACACACAATCCATTTTTATCACACTTACATGGTAAATGAAAAGCTGCAGAAGAACACTACTGGGATCAGACTACAGGGTTGGAATTGTACTAAAATTAGGTCAAGCAAGTCATTTCCTAGCAGCTAGAGCAGATTACTGACTATTAAAGGAATTTATGAAGCAGATCTTCTGATAGAAAGAATATTATTAGACTGTTTAGTGCAGTAAATGTGAAAAAGGCTTATAGTTTTACATACTAATGGGTGCATTAAGTTGCCACACAAATTTTGAGTTGATAATATTTTCATTCATTATTGAACCCTCCCCTTAAAAAGAATAACCTTATAGGATATGTTTTTCTATTTTGATGAACAATATTGTGCATTTAAAACAAGGACTCATGCTTACGCTTTAGATGTACATTTTTCCAACCATGAAAGAAAATACTCCTGATTCAAAGTTTCACTAGCAGAATACATAGCAATTTCATTTGTCTTTCTAACTTTGCATTATCAAATAGTTACTGATCCTCTGTGCGTTTTAAAACTTCATACTTTTTTGTTAACAGTATAAGAATAAATATTTGTAGATATGCTTTTAAAGTAATGAGCTAGGGATGTCTCATCACTATTCATTACAGACAGTTTCACCCAAAAAGCAGACACAGGTAAACAATATCTTCTTATTCTGCTCAAAAGCAACAATAGTCTAGTATGATTTATGAAAGCATTTAAGTACCTATAGTAATTTTTACTTAATTTTAGCACTGTAATATATATATGTATATATATATATATATATATATACACACACACACAAACAAATAAGGAATATTCTCTTCCCTCCGCAGAATTACAAACAGAATTCTTTGCCAAGTTTCTACCAGTTATACCTCCTCAAATGCACTGATGGCAGTAATTATACAATTGTCACAATAGCAGAATCTGTATACAAAAGAATTATTGGTTTTGAAGGCATTGAGAGCTTTTTTACTTGCAACATTGTCTGAGAAAATGACTAGTTTGTATGTTCTATTCCAAATAAAAGTGAAAAGCTAAAACAAATTTGAAAAGACAGCTGCAGATCAGAATTTTTTTTATCTTTGACAAGATTGGAAAAGTGTTGTTACAGTTTTTGCCAAAGGATGTCTTTACCTGTGTATAGAACTGTAGTATAGTCTACCAACAGCAATTTAAATTCTGCTTAACACAGGAAAACCATTATCTCATGAGAAATATCACAACTTCATTAGAAGCCATATAACACCAAACACAGCTATCTTTAAAAAAAAAAAAAAAAAAAAAATTCAAGCTAAGGTATCTTTTTCCTATATTTAAAACACTTGTACATTTAAAGCAAGAACCCAAGCTTATGCTTTAGATGTACATTATTCCAGCCATGAAAGAAAATACTCCTGATTCAAAGTTTCACTAGCAGAATACGTAGCAACTTCTGTACCTTATCTGCTTATAAGGGGACTTTCATTCTCCAAATAATCTCTCCACAAGAATATTCATTATTCTATGTTCTGGTATAGTCTCCTTTCCACGTTTTTTTCTCTCACTTTCCTCACTTTTCAAAAGACATCAATCCTTTTTTGTCTTGAAAACATTGTCAATGCTCTGCCTTCATTATTCCAGTGCTTCCACTAACTATTTAAATATTGTCTTCCTTCCCTGTTTCCCCAGAGATGCAGTTACCCCTGAGATTTGCCTTGATTTAATTATGTGGTCTGAATGGTGGGAATTTCTTTTCCATTCCATAATGTATTTTTGGCCAAAAAACAGTAATTTTCTTTTCACTGGCCTCTCAAAGTACTGTGTTGTTGGTTTTTTTTTTCTATATTTCCAACCTGTTTTTATTCCAGCCAACTTCACTCTTAATCCTTCCAATCCCTCCCAAAATTAAATCCCTTGTCATGTCTCCCCAAGTTCTTCCTTCCATTTCTCCCACAAAATTTGCTTAATTCATGGTTTTCAAATGAATCTTTATATAAATAAAGACCTTTTTTATATATTAACATTTCTAGTAAGCAACAATACACGGTGCTTTTGGAATTATATCTCTAAATAACAAATTGTCTTAACATACTTTTTGTCAATTTTGATAGCAGGAGCTCATACTCAGTTCCAGAATTACCAATTTTAGACATACTTAAAACATTGCAATATTGGTGCTGGATGGAAAATTAGATTACAGATTACAGAAAAAGATTACAGAAATTGTAAAAAGATCTAAACACTCATGAAAGAATTGTTCATTTAACTTCTTTCTATAACCTTTAGGGTGAAAGGAGAGGCTTGATAAAAACAGCTTATAATTTGATTTAAAGAAATTTAATGTTCATTGTTGAGTCTTGGGACATGATTAATTACAGAATGCATTTTATTTTCTTCCTCATTTTTATTTTCTTCTCTTATAAAAAATAGGAGATTTTTTATAACAATGTTTTATTTTTTGAAAGAAAAATCTCTTTTCACCTGAAAAGGACTAGGTGCAGTATAAATAACATACATTGATGGAGTTATTTTTAGTATTGGAGCTTTGTAATGCCTTTAATAAATATTTACCATCTGCATTTTTAAGATGTTAAAATAATTAAACATACATTTAATTATTTGGATGAAACGAATTAATTAGGCTGGCTTATGTTAAGTGAAGAGCAAAAACCACCAGCAGATGTGGCGACTAGGAATTAATAGGAGTATTTTAATCAATGCATAATAAAGTAACAAATGATAGTATGCAAGTATGTTTAATTGTACCCAAAACAGTACCCTGAAGTACCTTTAAATGAATTTATTTTTTTTCAAATCTTAGAGGTTTTATTTAGTATTTACTTGGTTTTCCAAACTAAATTATTCAGTATGATAGCAAACACAATATAAACAATATTAAAGTCACTAAAAGCTGTGCATTAGAAATGTACAATATTATTTTGTTTTAGGTATTTTTCTTGTCATTACTGCAAGTTATAACTCAATTAAGAAATATATATTAAAAAAAGGGGGGCGGGGGAGAAAAACAGCATCTGAGGAATTTCCAGTCTTTGGAACTCACTCACAAAGCTAAAGGAGATACACAAAGGCATGCATTTTTGCACACTTCAGGGTTACAGTAAGCTTTTTTTATGAGCTACATCCTTCGTACACCACTGTATCGCCACCTTTCATTGGAATACACCACTGGATTCTGATTCTGCAATATAAAGACTGTAAGTATTTGGTATTCTGCTATATCTTGCTTACTCATCTTACTTGAATGCAACACAGCTAACACTATGCAACACAGCTAACACTTGAAAGTACCTATCCAAATGTATTCAGATTCTTTACAGTCCTTATAGTAATGTAGAAGAATATGGTTCTAAAAATATCTGTTAGTTTTATCCTTTCAGTGGATCACAATGTGTTCATTTGGTAATATACTATACAAATATCACTACCTGATGCCCACAACTTAGAAGCTTCAACTGAAAAAAAAAAAAAAAAAAAAGCCATTTTACAAAAAAAAAAAAAAAAACTCTAAACAAGCATTTAAAACCAATTAATAAAATGGTTTTAATCAATTCCCCAACTCTTCATAGTTGTAGCACTGACACATCTTCTGATGTGTCTTTCCTCTGTGAAATGCATTGTAAAATACCTTTCCCCCACACATGGAACAATCAATCTGTATCTTTAAAAGGAAAAAAAAAATATATATATATATATATATATATATATATAATGAAAGCAGCTACCATTAGAGTCACCAATAAAATTATCTCTGAAAGCCTTGGCTGACTTTCAGCTAGGCCTCAGTAAAACTAACATGCACTTTTACTGCTTGTTAAATGCCATTAAGACTAGATATTATTTTTATGTATTAGGGATGAAGATTAGGCTATCTAAAGCAAAATGAGGATTACCTGTTTTAAGATGCCTGCTGCCATTTCATGGCTGCAGTCAAAGATTACATGGAATTCCTTGCCTCTTTTCATCTCCTTTAGCAATGGCTTTGCATCTTTCGTGTCAGCTGGTAACTGACGGATTTTTAGTCTCAGGTTGTACCGTGACGGAGCCTTGATGAGCTCTTGTAATCGAATAAGGCCTTAAAGAAAATAGAGGAGTCAAAGGAAAAGAAAATTATCAAAACAAGAACCTGATTTTCTAGCAGGACAACTTACTACAAACATTTGAAATTTTCTGTTTTTCTCTCCCTTCTCAGTATGCTGCCACTGATACACAGAAAAGTATTTAAAAAAAAAAAAGTCTCTGTACTCTTAGTACTTTCTTATCACACATCTTTCTTCTGCCTTAATATTAACAGACAGTAAGCAGCCTCAGTTAGGATTACATTACAAAAGACAAATCTTCCTTCATGGAATTATGATATTCCTCTTCAAAGAATGTATATAATTATTTTACTTCAGTTAAAGTGATATCTCAGACTAAGAATTTGTAATCTGAGTAGGCAGTCTCCTAACTAATCTATTAGATTCACATACTAAATTGTGGATCACTTCAGCATTGTAGAACATTCTTGGATAATCTGTATGATAGTACTAACTGAATTTTTCTGTTTTGTTTATACAGGTAACAAAATACATACACAGCAGAAAAGACAATGACTAAATGACATATGTCATTGCATTCCTCTTCAATACTTCACAATCCTATTTTGAATTACTTAACTTTTACAATGGAAGTAGATGCAGAAACATTTTTCCAAAAATATTGCTGTTCATAGCAGCACAACAGTGCATGGTGTTGTGTACATATCATTGACTGGTCTGTGACCAACAGTGCATATTAAGTTGTTGAACTGTCTTAGAATGACAGGGTAAAGACTGTCTCCTACAAAGCAGCAGTTTATTTTAACACTAGCAAAACAGATGTATTGTGCTGTGCTAACTTCCTTCTTGCATTAGAGGATGCTATATTTACTGGCAGTAACAAGGCTTACTGTTCACCGTTACATTTCCTGAACACATATAATAGACTGAACTGCCAAAAAATTGCATCTCTGCTTAGGATTTAATTCACAGAAGGGCCATGGCCTAAATTAAGTGTTTGTAAAATTTGAAATAGCTCACTTCATCAAAAATATTAATTTCTCATTATTATTTACTTATCATAAGCACATCGCATAAAAATATACATATAGTATTTTATCTCTACATATTCTCCCTGGTTATGACTGGATGTCAAAGTTGATGTCAAGACATCAACTGTCTTGATTTCAGGAAAATATGTAATGTAACTTGGAAGTATTAAAAGAAATTTTTATAACCTCTTCTATACAGAAGATTTACTTCTGTTTTGTATATAGTCTTTTTCCAACATACAGTGTTTGTTTAGCAACATAACATTGAGAGGTTTTAACAACAAAATACTTCTGTGATATTTTGTTATGATACTTTTAGATTGTAAAAATCACAGCTTTAATCATTTCCAGCAGAATCAGACCAGTAGAGAATGATAAGATAATGAAGATAATGTCAGTCACCTCTGTTTAATCATCCCTCCTTTTTTTGACCCTGCAAAAGATCCACATTACTTCTCAATGCTGAAATTAACAGAAACAGAAATTATAGCTTACTATACAAAACCTTTCTAAACTAAGATTGCAGGTGTGGAGATACAGCAGAAGAATCCAGTAGATGTCTCAGGTTCAAAGGCAGAGTGAGGAAGGCTGTAGAACATTCTGAATCCATACAAAATTTTAAGCAGTCTATCCAAATGCGTTCTTGCTTGAGGGGTTTATGATGGGGCAGAAAGAGCAGCTCCTAGTGCAACAAAGTACTAGCATAGCTCTGGGATAGATGGGTAGTAATTCCCTGAGGACAATTTTGCTGTGCAGTCAATTTAATATTTTTTTCTTCACTCACAAGTCTGTGTGATGGATACAATATCTCATATTCATCACATTTTTTGGTAACACTCCTAACACACACACACACACACTGTTCAAACTGAGACAACTGTAACTGATAGCTAAATTATCTTTCAAATTTCCATCTTCTATGAAACACTTCTATATGATCTTCATTACTTCAAGTATTGTGAAAAAATAAATCCAGTAAGACAGTATGTGCTGATTATCTTTCTTATAAAGTTATGATGTGAAATAACAATAGTGTGTTTTCTACAAAACAGTATGTCAAAATTTTAAGGTTAGAGCAAAATGTTTTCGCTCAAGAAGGGATAAAAAAATAATTCCATATGTTCCAGATTATTTTAATTGTTTGCTACAAAAAGCCAACTGGAAAATTTGTAACAAAAATAATTTTGACTCATATTGCGTTATATTTGGTATGTCTAATTTTAGATTTGTCTGGCTTTCCTTTATTTTGTTTGTCCTGCTTTGAAAATGAAATAAAATCCAACAACAAAAAAATCACAGAATTTTCTTATTGGCTATCTCTAGTAGAGATCCTGAGGGCAGAACAGATATGGAAACTGAAGTACTTTATCACGACTAGAACTGGTACATGCTTGCTAAGACAAAAAGAAGTAATAGCTAGAATGTATGTGACCTCTGAGAAAATGGCAGTTATGAGCCCACACGGTTGTGAAAATAGTACTTTTAGTAACTATAATTCAAATAAAAAAAACTTGCCATATTTACCTCAAACGTCATAATGGTATTACAGAAAATGAATTAATGTATTTAATGGAAGCTTATTTGGGTTTAATACTTGATTTCTAAATGACCTTGAATAAATACACTTAAAAGCCACCTTGAGGAGGTGTTTTTTTCTTTAGCTGAAAAGTTTATCCATCTATAACAAATTACCTTCATTTTATGATGACCTAGAACAACTGTTTGAAAGTAAAACTTTGACAAACAAAATCTAGCATATGCCACTGTCCTTATTAATACTAAAGACAATAACATGCCAACAAAAACACTTAGGATTGTCCCCAAGCCTTTCCCAGTTCCTTGAGACTAAGAAAAATAAAGAAACTGGATTGTTCCATTTTCTATACTGTTTTCCCTCAAAAAATAAGATCTATGGAATGTACAGAAAAAGTGAAAAATATCTGAAAATAAATATTAGTTGCCAAAATATGCTAAGAGTGATTGAAGATAGGAGATTCAGAAGTGCATCACTGCTTGAGTCTTAAATTGAAGCAGAGATTATAAAATATGCAGCTGTCCAAAATGAGGAAAACTTCAAACTGCATCTCAACCACACAGTTGTTGGATAACAGCATGATGAATTTTTCCTCAGGATCTCTGCAATCTTAAATACATTTGTCTTTTTTTGTGTGTATGTGTGGTGTTTTTTGTTGTTGTTGTTGTTTGTTTTCCCCAAATGAATCAAATTTTATTTCATTCAGGAGGCCAGGAATAAATAAAGTATTGTAGACTACTCTTAAGTGCACTGTTATCAAAATCTGCAGCTGGAGTTGCTTACTGGAAGACAAACAGACACTTGTTATTATGATGGTTACGGCAACTATCTTAGAGAGGAAACACCTGGGCTTTAGTCCTTGTTCTCGTATTTCTATACTGAATCTCTTTTCAACAGCAAAGAAGTTGCTGTTGAAAAGTAGCTTTAAATAGTGTTTTTTTTATGTAAAAAAAAAAAAAAAAAAAAAAAAAAAGTAGCTTTATTCCATGATGCAGTTATCTGGAATCAGAAAAACTCCAGAACAAAACTTATGTTTATGGAAACAACTATGAAATTGTATAAGTTACTGAAGTGATTCATTAAGTTTAAGTTTTCTATACAAGTAGCAAATGCAGTGTTTTTCATACACCAACATTTAAAAGGAAATCTGATTGTTCTTTCTTGACTGCAAACTGTTCCTTTAGAGTATTGTTTATTTAGAAGGGCAAAATGCCTAACTTGTATGTCTTACTTGTACTTGAAGGTGTTATTTTGCTCAAGTTGAAGACAGGAGAAACAGTTAAGATTGTCAAGAAAAGTTAAAATAGGAGAGAAAGAAGGAGAAAGGGCATCTAGTTTTCTCTGTTGTAAGCCCATAGGTTCCAAAATTTTAACAAATGAAAGTAGGACATTCTAAATTGACAGATCCCTTGATTTTCCCCATTTCTTGCACCAATGCAATTGCTACCTTTTAGAACTTTGGTCTTTTACTGTAAGGCCCAAGGTTTCTTACAGAATGGTAAGAATTTTTTTTACGGCTTACAGGAGCTTACAATATTCCTGTGAATTTAACATATACTGTATGGCTGACAGAGACTGCTGCAGGTGAGAGTCAACACTTCAAATAGTTTCTTCCAAACTACCTTTGTTGTATTTCAGAGCATTACCCATGATGAAGAGCCAAGAGCACACCACTTCGTGTTCTCCTCAAGACCCTAACTGGACAGTTCAAGAATAAAATAAGTCCTCCTTTTCATAGGTCTTGCCATGATCAGGCTTCCCCAGAGGAAGAAAAAAATCCCATCAAAATTTAAAACACATGACTACAGATTTGCCAAAGAAATTAAATACACTCAAGGAGAGCATTCTAATGTATCTGCTTCGTAGATTACCCATGTATCTGAGAGAGAAGTGATGAGCAATAAACAAAGCACTACATTGGGAAAGCAGTACAGAAGTAGCAGAAACTACCAGATAAATGTGAACATCAGAATGGGGGGAAGAAAACCTGCAAATGCACACCTATGTACTTCACTTAGACCTCAGTGCTGGAGCAGAACAGGGGTGCATGAAAACAAATGAATTAAGTATTTATTTCTTCATAACTGTCAGGACACAAATTGAAACCATTAGACTTTCTCAAAGCATATTTTAAAGATAAAGGAAGTTTGGGACATAGTATTCTTGCTTACAGCTTTTAAGCATACTTAATTCTAGTAATAGTTACAGGTAACACATTCTACCATTCTTTGGACTTTGACATACATTTTTCATTGCAATTCTTGCCACCAGTAATATTTATTAAGTTCAGATTAATTAGGTCAGGCACAAAACATATTCCAGTCTACCAACTTTGGTAGTTCACTGGGCCATCTGCTACAAGGAGTATTTGTTCATCCTTCTCCACACTTTAATCAACAAATCCATGCTGGCACAAATTCAACAGCTCCAGCTTGTGAGGCTCCCTTGAGCATGTTGTCAAAAAGCAAAA